AATGAAAGCTCAAAAGCTACTGAAGTCAAGAAGATTTAAAATGTTTAATGAAAAAACTAAAGCACATTTAGTGTAAAATAATCAAGGCATATTTTACACACTGTTTTTCTATAAATGAGCACAAATATTAAGTGTGTGTAACACCGGATTCTCACAGCCCTGGTAAACTTGGAAAAATCAGCAGACTCCAGATGTGTGATTTCCTGGCCTGGAAAAATCATAGACATTATTCAAATCTTAATATCAAAAATTGTCATGATGTAGTCATTAATTTCTGTAGTCCTAAATTTATTGTTAGGTTCCATTCTAAAATATATATTTATGTTGAAAAGTTGCTCTTTGTGATTTTTTAAAAAAATACCCACTTCAAGTGATCCAAGTCACGACAAAATGATGGAAATTCATCGGTTAGTTACGTATACTTTCATACATAGATGCATTATTTTTGATTCATGAAAAATGACAAAAAAATATTTTTAATGAAATCATTGAGTTAGAATTTTAAATCAGTTCTTCTGGCATTTTGATCTGATTAAAAATGAATTGGACAGAAATAACTATTATAAATCAGTGATGCTTTTTAAACAAATTCTGTCTAAATACTTTCATAAAATCAATGCTGTGTTTTCTATATTGTTTTATTTTATATCACCACCAAAATCACATGAGTATACAATATATATATCGCCCAGCCCTAATTGAGTCCACTGACCGATAATTTGAGCAATGTCTTGGAGCTGCATGTACATTAGTGCCCTGTATAACAGTTTTGATGATGCAGCGTTATGTATGATGTTTTACAGCTTTGAGATTTTGAGCTCTTTCACACTCTTGATGGGAAAAAATTGTCCTCCCTACTCAAAGCTAATCTTTTTCTGATTTATCAAGGCAGAATCAACATGCGTGCTTTCATTCTTTCTCTCCTCCTCTGTCTCTCTCTATTTGCATGGTGTTTATTTGCATGGTGCAGTGCCTTTGCTTTGCTTTGATCACACGCCACTGATGAGCAACACACAAATACACATGTCTTTTTTCCTCGGTCACACCATGTTTGTCTCGTCACATGCGTTGGTCTTGTACAGCGCCCTCTGAAGGCCATGTCTGGTATCTTCCCACCCCCCTCTTTCTTTTCTCTCTTTCTCTCTACCCCTCTTTCTCTCTTGCTCTCTCACTCTCAACAGCATCATCTCTGGAGAAGGCCAGCCCATTGCCCGAAGGTCGCTCTCGTTCTCTTCGGTCGAATCGCTCCTACTCGGGCAGTTCTGTCGCTGTGGTCAGAATGACCCCGCTCTCTTTCATTCCTGGCGCAAAGATCATAAAATACCTCGGCATCATCAACATGTTCTTCATTAGAGAGACCACCTCACTGAGAGAGGTAGCAGTCTCACTGTTTTTACTACCCGAAATTTGGTTATGATGATGATGATGAAGGTTATTATTATTACTATTTCTAGTATGGATGTTATTAGGGGCTTTCGCACTGGGTAGTTCTAGAAAGTAGCCACCAGGGTGGTTCCCCGAGAACTAATGGTTCCCATTGGAACATTTTCCTGGTTGCATTCGCACCACCAGTAGGAACTCTGAAGTGACGTAAGACACGTATGTTGTTGTAACTTTTATTTTGACGACGTGTTGGACATTTATTTTGACGGCGCTGAGAACATTCTTACGATCTGTCTAACACGTTATTAGATAGAACTGTTATACATAGAAAGACCGTATATGAAAAGGCATTAGCGTATGCCGTGTGGTTTATGTCCAGTGTTGCTAGCTGATTAGAAATGCATAATAATGTTTGGCTGGGTCCTCTCAAAGTTAGGCTGTAATCTGTGTGTTTACACAGCTTTTTTAAATGGCGGGTTCTGGTGTTTCACGTGCGTTCGGCCAATCAGCGAACACTTTCTATAGTGTTGGTTTAGACCCTACTTGTAATTAGGAGCTAAACTAGTTCTACCAAAAGGAGTTCCCAGAACTAAAATCGTTCCTAGTTCCTGCTGTGCGAACACGCCAAAATCTGGGTACTTTCGCCAATAGTTTTAGGATCCTCCGGTGTGAAAGCCCCTTATTTTATTACAAAATTTATATTAAATATTATGTATAATATGAATTTTATTTAAATTAATTTATATATTTTAATATTAAATTAATAGTCACTACAATAATAAATATTGTTAATATTAAATATTTTATATTAATGCTTTTAAAATTAAAATTATTAACAAATAGTGATATATATATATATATAGCATTAAGTATATAATAGTGAAATTATAAATGGTGGTAACTAACCAGTATTGTTCTTATTGTTAATTTCATATTAGTATTAAATATTTTATAATATTAATGCTATCAAAAGTAACTATGAAATATTACACCGTTAAAATGATTGATATTAAATATGTTGGATAATGTTAATATAATTAAATTACAAGTATTAACATAGATAGAATGGAATATAAATGAAAATAAAATGTATATTACTATTATTTATTGTTGTTTGTTTTATTATTAGCATTATAAATAATAATCACTTTTAATAGTATTAATTGTATCAAATGATTTAGCATTATTAAAATAAGTAATATAATATGTGATGGTATTAATAATATTCAGCATTTTGTATAATATTATAATATTAAAGTGAATTAAAATGATTGAATTAAATATTATTAAATGTTATATTAACATTAATAGTAATCAATTAATATTTTTTATAAATAAATATTAATTAAATATTATTAAATGTTATATTAACATTAATAGTAATCAATTAATATTTTTTATAAATAAATATATAATGTTTTGTTGTTTGTATATTTTCTTAGTACTATCATTGTGTTTTAGGAGGGAGGTGTGAGTGGGTTTCTGCATACGTTCATAGCTGAAGTATTTGCGATGGTTCGTGCCCACGTCGCTGCTCTTGGAGGGAATGCTGTCATCTCCTACAGCATGAAGGAGTGTGTGTTTATGGAAAACCCTAACAAGAACCAGGTTAATACATAACACAGACACACACACAAACTCATCCATACACACAACCAATCATGTTTTTTTCATTTATGCTGGTGTTGAACATATTTTACAGGCGCAGTGCCTAATCAACGTCAGTGGGGATGCCGTCATCTTTGTTCGAGAATCTGAAGTCGAGGCGGCTTCGGTACCGCCACAGTCAGCCACCACACAGACCTCCAATGGGGAAGGAACGTGAACCAACATACACACACACACACACCAACAAACTCAAGTAAATGAGTCTTAATGTGAACCATGCCAATCTACCAACCAAATCTCCAAGAAGTTCACGCATAACCTGATTGGTTAGTTCTCCCATGTGTTATATTTTAGCCCCTGTAAATGGCCAATATTTTCTTCTTTTGATTTTTTTTAAAAATCCCTCCATCGGAAGCCTTTCAGAAAGGTTGTCTGCCATGTTTCTACAGTATGTGTCACATTCCATTTTGTCCATGTGTGGTGAGGCAGCTACAAAATTATAAAATATATGAAATGCGTTTTCTGTTCTCAAAGAGTGTGTAAACGTGTCAACCACACTAAATGGCCATGTTTTATATTGAAATAAAGGAATGAACTACTGATGCACTCACACCGACATGCAGTTCAGGATTTTAAATACTGGTTTCAAATTAGGCACCTCCTGTCATGTCCTACTGATCTCTTTACAATCATGTCAAATGCTGGAAACGTTTGTTTGCTTTCATGTGCCACAATGTATGACTTTTAATCCAAATGTTTGGATCGGACTTCTGTGAGGCCGGTCCAGTTCTCTTGCATGTGCAATGCCAGTTAATCATAAAGAGAAAGAGATATTTCAGGGCAGAAGCATGCTCACCGTGGACTGACACTTGAATGTACAGATGACTGGTCTGGATATGAGGTGGGCTGCTCTGAGTCTGTTCCTGACTGACTTTTATTGCTATTATTTTGTATATGTGTTTGCCTGAGGACAAATCAAAATTGTACATTATAAGATATAATTGAATAAAACTATTATGGCTCTGGTGTGTTCAGTCCTTAAGTTCCTCCTTGTTGTTTAATGTTGGATGATGTTTAATTATATTGTATTTTCAGAAAGTTTTGGAATATTTTTCCTCTCCCCAAATTTGTCACTAACGAAACACTATAATCAATAATTTATAAAATTGCCTGTCCACCCTAAACTTTTGGATTATGGTAGTCTTCAAAATTTACTCTCAAAAATAATCTTTGAAACGAAACTTTCATAAGTTTAGATGTAATTTTATATATAGTTATGTTTAGGGATGTCTGTTTTTGTGACTAACGTTTCTTTAGTATAACCATGGAGTATAAAAATTCAATATAAATTCTCGGATTGGACTCTACGATCGGCGGAAGTTATCGAGCATCCAAACCTTCACCGGAAATACCGCCGTGCATAGAGCCCATTCACAAGCCTCTCTATGAAATCACATTATTTTATTTTCTCTCAACAGGTGGCGCTAATCTTCCAAATTTGAATTTAAAATCTGAAATACTGTATTAATTGAAAAAAATTATTTAAAAAAAAATATTATTTTTTTCAGTGGCAAAAATTAACCATAATTATTGCATAAATATGAATAAGTACCATCAAATTATTGAACAATATTTTTTCGTTTATAGGTGCCGGCCAGGCACTGCCTGGTCACTTCTGACCGCGAATATGACAAATGCGATGCTAGCTACACAAGCTCTCAGATTTCATCAAAAATATCTTCATTTGTGTTCCGAAGATTAAAGAATGTACGGGTTTGAAACGACACGAGGGTGAGTACTGAGTAATAAAGGACAGAACTTTCGAGATGCACCTGGCGTTCTGCAGGTGTACTTGGAATTTTTAGTTTTGGGTGAACTATCCCTTTAATGTCCTGTAACGTCAATTTACTATCATACTCCAGTCAGCCAATCAATTGGACTTCCCTAGCGTGACCTACTTAATATTCATAAGCCAAATCTTCGCCATAGTAGGATTCGTTGGCAAAAGTAATACACAGCGCGCTTCTCTGTTCCTGCACGTCAGACGTGGCTCAGTCAGTCCTCTGCATTCAAACCTTCCTGATCTCCATCTTGAGCATATACCCCACGCCTGTTTCCTGCAGGAATTTATTTTACAAAAATGGGAGATATAAGACTGCCGAGGCACATGTTCATGTGGTGTCTTTCTGCTATTTATATGTTTGCCTTTGCGTCTCTTTACGTTCAGATTCCGGGTGAGTTTGGGAAGATTTTTAGTAAACTTGCATGCATTGAACTAACTTAGAGTTTCCCTGTGACGCATGCAACAGTATTTTAGATATGCATTTTTAATGATCATACTCTTCTATGAATGTATAGGTTAGTTTGTTCAAATCTCCAGGACGGTTGTTTATTCAGTGTAGGGATACAGATGAACACATTTTAAAGGGCCCATCATATGGGTCTGTTAGTGCAGAACATCTTTTCTCATATAAGCATGTTGATGCCTGTCCTGCGGTCTGAATGTCACAGCAATTCTTTCTAAAGGAAATGGATTGCACAAAGTAGTTTTTTTAGTCCAATTTGTTTTTAGTGTTTTTAGATCACATTAAACATATGAGATTCACAATCTAATTTAAACCTGGAAATTAGTCAATTTCAGATTCTGCAGCAAATATTTTAGTATTGACCATGTGAGCGCTCTCTTTCTTTACTTTACTTTTTTAGGTCTGTATGGAAATGAGGGATTGCTGCCAGCACGGTGGCAGCTGCGAGTGTCTGGGAAGAGTGTTGTGGAGCAGCTGAAGGATACTCCCACCCTGCTGTGGTTTGGTCCTCATCTGGGTTTGGACACACAGCAGTGCATGGAGCTGTTCAGTCTGACCGGAGCTCTGCTCAGTTTACTGACTTTGGCTTTACCACCGCTCCGAGATTGCAGAGTTTTCCTGGTGCTCTGGATGCTCTATCTGTCTCTCTACCAGGTTCAAACTTATTTCACAATCGGATTCTACTACTGACTGACCAATATGGGTTTTTCAAGGGCTGATATGATGTATAGAGAACAGGGTGACCTATGGCTGATATAATGCTATTATATAAATATAAACAATTTTAACAACTGCGAATCTCCAATCTGCTGTTGGCCATCCTTCGGATGAGACGTTAAACCGAGGTCCTGACTCTCAGTGGTCATTAAAAATCCCCTTGGCCTCTGTCCATCCCAACATACTGATTGGCTTTATCACTGTCTCCTCTCCAACAATAAGCTGGTGTGTGGTGGGCGTTCTGGCGCAACATGGCTGCCGTCGCATCATCCAGGTGATGATGCACATTGGTGATGGTTGAGGAGATTCCCCCCTCCATGTAAAGCGCTTTGAGTGCCCAGAAAAGCAGTATATAAATGTGACAAATTACTATTATTATTATCCTAAAAACCCATATCAGTCACGAATACTACTTATTAAGGATAAAAATAATTAATTTTATTAGGTAAAGTATACAGTACTGAAATGTTTGTTGTTTTTAGGTGGGCCAGGTATTCTTATACTTTCAGTGGTGAGTAAGAGACTTTTTGTCAGAGTTTGTTGCTTGTACACCACTTGATGTTATATTGAATCACAAATGTTCTTGTTCCTTAAACTAGATCTGTTATGTAACAGTCTTTGTTGAAATCTTGATCCTGAGAGACACTTGAGAGTATTATTTATTGTAGTCACAGATCTGTTGATCTGCTTTCAATCATAACAGATGTGAAATGACCTTGGTCGACTCGGCAGCAAATCAGAATTTGGAAAGTATGTACGTTTCAAACATGTCTCTCTCCTTTCTTATCTTGTTCTCAGGGATAATCTCTTGTTGGAGACGGGCTTCTTGGCCATTCTTGTCGCTCCTATGAAAATGCCCTGGTCCTCAAAGGTGTGCCTCCATGATAATGTGACATTCTGGTTGGTGCGCTGGCTGTTGTTTCGGCTGATGTTTGCGTCGGGTGTCGTCAAATTGACCAGCCGCTGCCCCACTTGGTGGGGCCTGACAGGTGAGGAACTGTAGAATATATTTGTATGTGTGCCTACATGTTCTTGTGTTGTTACTGGAAGTTTCAGAATATAATCAGAATGGTGCACCACATGAGATACAGTGGCCTCAACTTGATCAATGAATTAAAGCAAAATCTATGGTTTGTTATAACTCATTATGTTATTGAACTGTTAAGAATTGTTCATGAATTGAGAAATCAAATTTTCCTTGATTTTTTTATTTTATTTTTTTATTTAAGAGGTCTGTTAGTTTCAGAACTCAAAACTTCCTCATTAGTCTAAAAAACAACTTTTATTGAAACCAAGCTACCGTAAAATACTATTTTTTGATTTTGTTACATTATGATGTAACAGTGACACAAAAGGCCGTATCTGCAGAAGATCAATGCCGCCTTCTACATCATTTCCTCTTTAGCCCCGCCCACTGATTGGCGCATGTCATGTAGTAGTACATACGAGACAGACACAAACACAGGATTTCTCCAGGAACAAAAAGTTAAAAGATGCCTCTGAGGATTACAAGATGTTTTGAAGTGCCAAGTTTTAGTATTCTTTGCATTACATTCTTTTGATCCTAGCTTTAAGAAAGCGCGAATGGACTTTGAATGAATTTAACGAAGTTCTAGATCATGTCATTAAGACACTTTTTTTTGTTTGGTTACTTTATTTTACTGCATATTAATTTTTAAATGACAGTTTGAAGCTTTTCAGAGAGAATGAACCAAAAACAATTATAGTTGTATGATAAAGCTATTTCTTTTATGATAGTATTTGTGAAAATGTCATTTGCGTGAATAGGTTTTTTTGTAAATAAATGGGGAATATATATATATATATATATATATATATATATATATATATATAATAATTAAATGTTTTGTTAATTTTATGACTTTTATTTTTGTAAACTAATAGTGCATGTTGTAAACTAATGTTTTTATATTTTTGATTTGTCAATGTTTTTTTTTTATTATAAAAAAGGCAGTGTGTTAGTATTCCACTCCAATCATAAGCTTTAGTTTATACATTTTTCTACATTCTCTCTAAATTTTAGTTTAAGTACTGAATCACATGAAAGTTTTGACTGCTGCTTTTGTCTGAAAATAAATTACAAATCATATTATTCATTTAAGTTCAGTGCCATAACAGGGTTATTGAAGTTAACTAAAACTAAAACCATAAAAAAAATGTTGCTTGAAATAAACGGTACCTGAAATAAAATGAAATATGAAATATTTAAAATGATTTTGTGCAATATCTCATTTTTAATTTAGTTTTAACTTGATGTGCTAAATTAAAAATAAAGACTGTATAGACATTTAAAAAAAGTATAAAAATTACAAAATTGCAATATAAAAATAAAAACATTTAAAATATTTATGTCAAAAGGGGTGCGAATAATAGAGGCCAGCTACTGAGAGCTGTGCAGGTAAACCTCACTCCCCTGATCCCAAGAGGCACACTAGCGACTGGTGTTAGAGACTGTGGTCTTTAGCGTCTGCTTTTTAGTGCACCCATACCGTTACCTCCCATACCGGTGGCTCGGGTTCGAGTCCCACACAGAGACACGGGTGAGTCGGACATGAGGGGTTAAGTGCGCTAGTGCTAGTGTGTCTCTAGGTATCAGAGGAGTGAGGTTTACCTGCAGTTCTCACTAGCTAGTCTCACTTAACTATAATATCTCAATGATACTGAACTACTACACGTGTTCTGTTGTTCTCTCACCAGCTTTGACCTATCACTATGAGACCCAGTGTATACCGACCCAGCTGGCCTGGTTTGCTCATCAGCTGCCAATGTGGTTCCAGAAACTCAGTGTAGTGGGTGCCTTTGTTATCGAGATAGCAGTTCCTTTCCTGTTCTTCAGCCCCATACGAAGACACAGGCTCGCCGCCTTCTACATGCAGGTGAGTGTGTATGCATGTGTGTGACCAGAAAGAGAGAAGCTGCTACGGGTTTGTGCATTATTGTGACGTCTTTGTGTACAGGTCCTGTTTCAGGTGTTTATCATCCTGTCTGGAAATTATAACTTCTTTAATATTCTCACTATCACCCTGTGCCTGTCGCTACTGGATGACCAACATGTAAACTTCTGGCTCCGCAGACCCACGCTGAAGACAGAAAGCAGTAGGGACAAACTTACATTACACTTACATTGAGCTCTTATGCTCACCAGAGCTGCATTTAAAAAAAAAAATATTACAGGAACTGCTGTTTAATATTACAGGAACTGCTGTTTGAATACATTTTAAATGTAATTTATTCTGTTTCTGCATCATTACTCCAGTCTTCAGTGTCGCATGATTCTTTATAAATCATTATAATATGCTGATTTGCTGCTCATTTAAAATACATGATATATATTTGTGGAAACTGTGTTTTCAGTGAGAATGTAAATATTACATGAAGATGGCAATGTGTGCTGTGCTGTACCTTGTTATGACAAGATGTTAAAACCAGGTCCAGACGTCCGTGTTTTGTTTTGTTTTTTTTCTCCAGCATCGTTACAGACTCTATTCTCTGGAATGGCTTTAATGTTAGAGGTCAGTGTATACGCCCTGCTTGGCTACTGGACAGTCCGATACTTTGACCTGCAGGTGGACTGGGAAAAGAAAAGCGTGTCCTCCAAAACAGGTGAAGCTCTCAACAATGTCTTACTGAGGTCAGTTATCTTTCAGTGTGATTTATCTCTCTTTGTGTTCCTCTTTCTCAGCCTTTACTTATTTTGAGTTCAATGGCTTTCTGAAGACTGTTACGGTGCCCAGTATCTGGATTGGTGTTTTGTGTCTCGCGTGGGAGATCATCACTGCCATGTTTAAGTAAGTGTTATGGGATAGTTCACCTATCTATGGTTTGTTGTTGGCTTGATATGTCCATTAGATGGCGTTCTGGTTGAACAAATGTTTTTAATTGCTTGTGATGTTTCAGATGTGCTTGTGTGAGGGGCGTGTTGTGGCGTCTCTGGAGCACAATCCAGTGGGCGGTGATGGCTGCGGCTGCTGTCTCAATGTTTGCCATCAGTCTGGTTAGTAAACATCCTGTCAGTGTTATTTTAGTATCATTAATATAGTTTGATAGTATTTATTAGTTGTATGTTTTCAAGGTTGTTTTTTTGTTGTTGTTTTTTAAAAGTCTATTTAGTTTTTATCTATCTATCTATCTATCTATCATCTATCTATCTATTTTTTAATTTACAGTTAGTGTTTAGAAATTTTAGTATTTCAACTTACACTAAATTAAAATGTTACATTTTGCCTTGGCAAATCATTAACTATCTAAAAAAAAAAAAAAAAAAGTTGATTTATGTATGTGACCCGTGCTGGCAAAATGAGTATGAATGTGTATGGGCTACTTAAGACCTACAGGCAAAACAAGTAAAATGTAAATTGTGGTTAAAATTGTATCTTGTTGTGTGTATTATTTGTTTGTTTGTTTTTTTTTTTCTGGGAGGAGTACATTTACTTTGTCCATGAAAAACGATCTTACTCGTGCTGAGTGACAAATCGATCCCGATATACACACGCATACACAGAATTTCATTATTTAAAAATTTCTGTCAAAGTTTTTCTTTCAAAAACTTCCATTTGGTTAGCTGTTGGGGAAAAACATCTTGTGTAGTGCAGGTTGTAATATATTGGTTGTCTGTTTCGTTAATGTTAATCAAAAAATTGTAACATGGAGAGAAAAAAGATAAATATATATTTTCCCTATAGATATTTTGGTTTTTATTTTAAGGTATGAGTGCTTGGTGGTTTTGGAATTTTCTGAAAACTTTTTTTTTTGTTTGTTTTTTTGTTTTGTTTTTTGACTTTGACAAAATTGACATTGCTGACTCAATCAACTTCAAACAGCTGTAGCTCAGGCATTTTTGATCCGATTCCAACAAATAATACATAATAATTAAAAGTAATGCATGAAAAAGTTGATTTAATGTGTAAATAATATAACTACTTTTCTCTCATTTTGCTAGCACAGGTCTTGTTTATTTATTTTTTTTAGTTAATGATAACATTATTTCCTGTTTGTATATCTTTAAAGGGATAAGATTACTATTGTCATCATTTTGTCACCTACATGCTACTCTAAACCTGTCTGTTGAGTTAATTAGCAGAATTGCCAGGTTTTCCTGTAAAGTGGATGTTAACTGCAACTACCAAAAATGACAAAGACACAGTGGACCGTAAAAGTAGTCCATACATCTTGTATTCCATATTTCAAGTCTTATCAAAGAGTCTGATAGCTTTTGTGGGGAACTGAAAGTAATTCATAAAACAAACAAAAAATCATATGTGGCTACTGCACTTTTCTATCTAAATCTCATTCTGACATTCACAATGCACATAAGAACTTGTGTACTCCAGATGTAGGGCACAGAATTCTAATCTTTTTAGTGCACTGTCCAGTAAAAATGTAAAAAGTTATGTAAAAATAATGAGACTAATAATGAAGTATGTGTGCAGGTTCCTTACACCTACTTTGAGTATGATGCCAACAGTAATCTTTGGCCTGGGATCCGGACAGCGTTTGAAATGACTGACCGTTACCAGCTGGTCAACTCATACGGATTGTTCCGGAGAATGACCGGGGTCGGAGGTCGTCCAGAGGTGGTCATTGAGGGCAGCATGGATCGCAACACATGGACGGTCAGTTTAGGAGTATTTCAGGAAGTGCATATAGTGTCTGAATTACAGCACTGATTTGTATGTGAAGGATGGACTTTACAAAAAATCAAATATGGACTTGTAATTAAAAAGGTGTAGGTTCACACATTGAATCTAACCTGGATCTTAAAGGTGAAGTTCTGTGGGACGGGCAGCCTCAGATTTGCAAAAATACTGTACTTTTACCAATTAGGAGTGGGAATCTTTAGGCACCTCATGATCTGATTCTGAATCCAAAACATTTGTTGATCTATTTTTTATTTTTATTTTTTCCAATGAATTTTTGCAGGAGATCGAGTTCATGTATAAGCCGGGGAACATGAGCGCAGCGCCCCCTTTTGTGGTTCCGCACCAGCCCAGGCTGGACTGGCAGATGTGGTTTGCTGCTCTGGGGCCGCAGACACAGAGCCCCTGGTTCAGCAGCCTCCTACACAGACTCCTGCAGGGCAAACACGATGGTAAGGATGCGTTGTTTGTACATGTTTGAGATTTAAAAGCACCCAGTGCGTGTCTGAGCTACTGTAGATGCAGTGTTGAATTGAGTGTTTTGTACTTAACTGTTCTGTGTGTGTGTGTGTGTGTGTGTCTTGTGCAGTGGTCAAACTCATTCAGACAGATGAGTCTCAGTATCCATTCAGCAAACAGCCTCCTGCGTACCTTAGAGCTCACCGTTACAAATACTGGTTCAGCGAGCCAAAAGCGGACGGGTGAGCATTTTTATTATCTTGCTAAACATAGTGGATTATTGTTAACGTTGATGTTTAACGTTAGCCTAATTGAACTGCGTTTCCTTTAACTATTAATGTCTTATTTGGTTTGTGTGCGTTTAGTTCATATCCCCAGCGATGGTGGAGACGGGTGTACGTGGAAGAGTTCTATCCTATAGTGCACCTTGGTGACTCTTACCTTGAACAGATGCTGGTTCAACATGGTTTGAAGGTAAGAAACGAGTCTGAATGACGTTATCCATTGCTAAATTATGGCTCATCATAGACTAGCTAACCACAAAGCTAGCTAATGCCACTATCGTCAGTCTGTCCTGTTGTGACAATAAAAGAAACAAGTTTCTTTTTAAAATGCATTATCATATTATTTTAGTTAAATCTCATAAATAACTACAAATAACTAATGTTATGGAAATCTGTTAATGTTTTGTTGCACGTTTCTGAAAAAAATAAATAAATAAAAAATATCGGCCGTTTAAAACCAACAAATATTTGTAACGGAATCGGCCTTCAAAATCATTTAGCGGCCGGGCTCTGGTATGAATTTCTGAACATACAATATATCAAAAGAAAGAACAGACCCTCTGCAAAAATAAATAAATTCTAGCTTCATGCATTTCTTTTTAATCAACACTTGAATGTGGGTAAGTTTCATAATAAAAGCAACATTTCGAAAAAAAAAAAAGCTGATAAAATCGTGTTTTTGTCAAAGACGATAATCAAAACATTGATTGAGTAGATCATGTCTATAAAGCTTGCACAGGTCTATACCTCTTCATTGGTTTCATTTCTTTCAGTAACGTTAGGCAGTTTTCATTCATATGCTGTTGAATATTTGATTGTGTTAGCTTACATGTGTGTAAGCAATCTTCTATCGTTTCTTTTTCACTTGTTTTTGTATTTGGAGCATCTGTACCATTTCAGAAAATACATAATAGCACCCCCTTAACGTGCAACAGTGCAAACATGGAATGCTGCAGAAAAACGCATCAATTTGTGTCATAAATGATGGAAAATCTTGTCAATGGTGGGGAAAGAGTTAATGAAGGTTAAATACCATCTCTTGAATCTGGTCAAGACCCTCTTCCCATTTTTCCCATCAGGATAAGGCTCCTCCGAGGCGCAGCTCGAATGCTTGGCTGCCGCGGTTATTGCGATATGTAGGTGAACATGCCCGTGAGATACCAGCTCATCTTCTGCTGTGGACTCTCTTCAGCTCTGCAGCGACCATGTGTCTCCTCAACTCTCTGCGATCGCGTGCACATCATCGCCAACACGAATCGCTCCAGAACCAACACACAGACAAACAGGCCGCAGGACGGACATGCTTCAATGTGGCGGAAAAGAACGAGAAGAAACACGAGGAGGAGGAGGAGGAGGAGAAAGCGGAGGTTACAAAAGATGATCTGGAAGAAGAGGGAAAGGAGCAGGATATAGATGCAACAAGTGAAGAGGAACAGGAAGGAGAAATTGAAGAGGAAGTGAGTGCAGAGGAAACCGAAGAGGACAGCCTTAGGAAAAGGAAGTGATGCGTTTCTTTTTCTTCAAATAATCTACCTCTGGGCTTTTTAATACCAGCTCAGGGTAATGACATCTACCCCAAAAATATCAGCATTTACACCTTCATTGTGCCAGAACATTGATCTTTCTCTGTTTTCACAGGCATTTTTGAGAGATGTAGACAGAGTAGTGAAGCTTTCATGTATCCCAGCAGTGTCCTGGATTTTCCTGCACATTTAGTTAAACTAATCCCGATAGGAGGACCTCAATGCAAAATGAGGGATTTCTGTTGTTGGTCTGACCGGTAAATGGAAAACGAGGTAGGTTATTGTTCCCCCAGTGTGCACTACTACACCCTACATGAAAAGCCAGGATGTCTTCCACCATGAGACCTAAATTTACTGTAAAAAAACAAGCAAACTGTACATTAAATGAACATACTGGGCCTCATTAAATGGAAGAGTGGGATTTGAGTTTGTAAAAGCATTCTTGCGTTGAATTGAATGCATCGAAATGCCAACCAGCACTTTTATGAACTATTTGCACAGACATTCCTTTGTTCTGCTCATGTTTTTTGAATGAAGCCCAGTATGTGCTGTGCCTTATGGTATACCAAAAGTATCACACAAGTCTAGGTATCAGAAAATATTTCATTCTCATTTTATTTTCATGAATAATATAGAGATGCTTAAATATTTTTTCCCCTTAGACTGTTATCTTGTATTTTTGGTGTTATATGACCTGAAATTGTTTATCGGACTGTAACTGTAGATTTGTGTATTGTTCGTGACATTGCTTTTTAGTTTTTTACCACTGTGATGTTGTTAAAAAATTGCATGTTTATTGTTAATATGACTGAAGATGCACACACTGTAGTATTTAATAAATTTGTGCCATTATTTCCAAAGAAATACAGCCTCTTGATTCAATTTATCTTCAATCTATATGAATACATGATTGTAGTTCATATGATTGAAGATGCACACACAGACTCACCCCACTCGGCTTTAATGTTTTGTAATATATTTAATAAACTTACAAAAATATACACTGGCACAAGTGTCATCATTTCCAAAGAAATACAGCCTCACAATTTACATTTTTATCTTCAATCTATATGAATACATAATTAATTTTTATATAGTAATTACAATGAATACATAAGATAATAGGATATATATAAAAATCCTTTTTTTCATGTTGCTGGAAAAGCAAAGGTATAATAATTGATTTATTTTATTTGACATTTTCTGAAGAAACTTCCAAGGTGTTGTGTGTGTGTGTGTGGTTGCTAGTTAGCGGAAGTCAAAAGAGCCCACCCTTCAGTCAGAATGACATTCAGTCTCTAGTATTATGATACACGTTCACCACTGCAGGACACCAGGGCAGTATTTATCAATGAGACCCTGATAATACGGCCTCAGACTCGCCACGTCCGGTAGTTCAGTGCTCTTGGTATACAAATCAAACTTGCTGTCAGAGGAAAGACAAACAGACGCATGTTATTGATCTACCTGTAGCTTGAGGTCAGATCTTCAATATGTGGGGCACACAACTGATAAAATGGAATCACGGATGATGAGATACTCTTATTGAGAAATTAGATAGCATACTTAAACTCTTTGACCCAGGGAAGCATCTGCAGGTCTTTCTCGTTGCATAAGTGCATGTAGTCTCCGTTTGAGTGCCAGGGGTAGAAGGAGTGGTAGCGGATCATGTAAAGACCCTGAAGGAATTTGGGAGTGTTAAATGGACAAATTATCTTATAAAAGTTTAAATCACATTATATTGTTTGTGTGTGTCTTAGATTTGTTTGTGTGACATTACCTCCTCGGGGATGGTGCATTTGTTGAACTTCATTACCTGGTACAGATACTCTGGAATAGTGCAATAAGAATTTCCGCTTAGTCACTTCAGCAGCAAATACAGTACTGGTCAAAAGTTTGGGGTCATATTATTGAAATGTTTCTTATTCTCACCGTGGCAACATTTATTTAATCAAAAATACAGTAATATTGTGAACATTTCTTTTTCTTCATATTAACCGTTTTCTGTTTTAATTAATTTAAAAATGTAATTTATTCCTGTGATGCAAAGCTGAATTTTCGGCATTCTTCAGGGTCACGTGATCCATCAGAAATCACTGTAATATGCAGATTTGTTGCTCAAATTATTTTTATAATACATTTATTATATATGTATTATATATATTTCAAAGTATTATCAATGTTAAAAACATTATGAAAAAAAAAAAACTTTTTTTCTTCAGGATTCTTTTTTTTAATGAAAAATTTCAACATTTATTTGAAATATAAATTTTTTATAACAATATAAATTGGAGTTGGGAATCTTTCGGAACCTCATGATTTGATTCAAAATGATTCTTGGGGTCATGGATTAAAATAAATTCTTGATTTCTATTGATATACTCATAGTTTAAATTTTATTTATTTGAACTAAAATCAAAGTGAAACTGAAAATATATTGGGAAATAAAATTATTACTTTAAAGCACTGGTCTGTCAGAGTGCCTTGGTAATTGGTAATATTAGGTGTATCATTCTTATTCATATTCATATTCATCAACTTTTCCCCTGGTACAGTTTTTGTCTTAGTTTTTTTTTTTTTTTTTTGTAATACCTGGCAACCCATCACCTGGCGTGTTAAAGGGATAGTTCCTTTTGAAATTATTTTTTGATATGTTTTAGCTAACCTCAAGGGCATACAAGATGGTGTCTTTGTTTCCACACTATTTTTAATTTTGATATTTTTAGGTCAAACTGTTCTTGTCTGTCAGTCATATAATGGAGAAATATGGGGTCCACCTCAAAGAGCATGCACAGAGAAGTCCAAATTAAACATGATTTGATCTGCGCAAGCTCCGGAAAGCCCCGGAAGTGATATCTCACGTGTGTACATCACTCATTGTTTACACCGAGATTTCAAAAGTGTTACCATTAGGTGGTAATATGTACATGTTGGGTGCTAATATGTAGATTTTAGTTGCTAATAAGTACATTTTAGGTGCTAATATGTACATTTTAAGTGTTAATATGTACATTTTAGGTGCTAATATGTACATTTTAGGTGGTAATATGTACATTTAGGTACTAATATGTACATTTTAGGTGGTAATATGTCAATTTCATGAGATAATGTGTACATTTTAGGTGCTAATATGTACATTTAGGTTCTAATATGTACATTTTAGGTGTTAATATGTACATTTTAGGTGCTAATATGTACCACTAAGGTACCAATGTGCAGCCTTTGGGTACAAAAGTGTACCTTTTAAAAAGGTACAGCCCCAGTGACAGCTTTTGTACCTTTTTTTCTGAGAGTGTAGTGAGTGTTTCGCAATGAGACATTGGATGCAAAATCCTTCAAATCACTCACCATCATGTCCCCAAGACATCAGGACATTATCAAGCCCAGATTGAGGTTTATAGATCCCAAATTCTGTGCTGCATTAAGAGAAGTATAAGCAAACACTACATTATCAGGTGGAATGCTAAAGAATGCAATGAACATTTTAATTCAATGTTGACGTAAGATACCATTATTAACTTTACTCATTTACACGCCCTCATGCTTTTCCAAACCTAAATTACTTTCTTTTGAGGAACACTAAAGCACCATAAAAAGTGTGTTATTGTAGTGTTGTTATTGTTAACTAACACTTTTTAAAATCATTTAAATTCATTAAATAAATCGGAAATAAAATATAATGCGTATTAGATGAGAAAACTGTAAATTAAAATACTTATGAGCTTGAGAGTTGTACTAAATTGACCAAAACTTAAATGAAAGCTAAATAGAAATGAGATTAGAACAACTAATAAATATGAAATATGAATATACAAATACATTGATATTTAGAAGATAAGTGTATTTGTGTTTTTGAAAGGTTTGTAGCTGTACTTGAGTGTTGGGTTTTTCACATCCGGATTGCCTTCAAATGTGGAGTTTCTGAACACTATTGAATCCTGGAACTTGCACCCCACTGGGAATGTGTCTCCGACTACGGCCCACTGAAACACACAAAGCAGCATTCTGATTGCATATCATTTAGCCCATGTGACCGTCGTAGGGTTTTAGACTGTGTGTTTGGATGCATTTGTCTCTCACCTGTGGTTCCCCATACAGTGCCATGATTTTTCCAATGTCATGGATCAGACCAACTAGCTGGAACCAATCTGGAGACAGGTAAAAATGAGATGTGTGCTTTTAAATTCAATTGCAATGTTGTATTTTAACATTCACCCAAAGAAAAATCTCCATAATGAACTTTCACATTTAGATATGGATTTCAATCCTGAAAGAAGCCCAGCAGGTATGGGACATATTAATCAGAAACTGGACAAAAACAAGCTCAGTTGCGTGTTTTTGTAAAAAAAAGTGACTCATGTGACCTTTGTCCTTGTTGACTCCTCACCTTTATCAGGATGCTCTTTGCGAATTCCCTCGGCGGTCTGGAAAGCGTGGAAAGAGTTCGGGAAGTCAACATCAGGATCGGATTCATCGACAAGCTCGTCCAGGGAATTGATGTTTTCCATCATGGTCATGCTGAAGTGATTGCAATTCGCCCAATCCTGGTGCTAAAGGTGAGAGCCGTATTCAGTGTTTGTTTGTCACAGAGCATCATATTTTTATTCTAGTTTAATTTTAACAGAGAAACATGTCCAGTTGAATTAAAATTAACTTTACTATGCGAGAAAAGCTCGCAATATAGATAATGTTCAATGGAGACAGATTTTAGTTTTGAGTGTGTCTGTATTTATTTATATCAGTTAAACAGGTTTTTCACTTTTATTAGAGGTGCATTTTATTTATTTCGATTTTTACCTGCTATTTAGTGTCAAAAACTGACACACATATACATACAACGACCAACCTTTTGTTTGACAAAGTCCAGCGTTTGGCACGTGTGCATCTGCTTGTATGTATTAAACACACGGTCAAAGAGAGCTCCACTCTGTATTAGACGTACACACATCAAAATGGAAATAGTTGAGTCATATTGAGGAATTATACATGATTAAGTTAATAATATGGCAAATTCAAAATTTTACTGTACCTCAAAGTTTCTGAATTCTGTTTGGTCTTTCTCATGACATTCGGGGCGATATGCCAGAGAAGGATCCGGACCCTAAGAGTAAAAGTTGATGTGTGAGGAATAAGACTTAAAAGACGGATACCAACTCAAAACAACAGTTTGAATGATTCAAAATGAATCAATTCATTTATAATGCCTACAACTCGTAGTAAATGTCTGAATGTCAGGTACATACCAGGTTCACCACCCTCATGGTTCAGCTGAGATTGTGCCGTTCAGGATGGAGGAGGATGTTGTGTGTTTGGCGTCTCTGAGTGCTCTATTTATAAATGCTGCACATATGGGGTCTCTGAACTGGAGTGGGAATAACTAGTAAAACTTTAACTTTCTTCAGTTCACTGTGTGTGTGTGTGTGTCAGAACTGGGATATTTTGGCACAAATACAGAGGACTGATTCAGAAAAGACGTATTCTACCATTACAGTTACATATTTTACATATTTTAGTGTTTTATGAATTGTTTTGTTTTAGTGTGGTTTTGTTTCATTATTTGGCTTTGATTTAAGTTTATTTTTCCAGTAGGTTTTTATAGTTTTTTTTGTAAGTTTCTTTTTGACGTCAATCAACAAAATAAATCTAAGTAAAATATGTTTTAAATATATTTTGCTTTGATTGCAGGTTTTCTTTAGTATCATGTTTGTAGTTTCTTATTTCTAGATCATCTCTAAACTGGAGTGTTGTTTGTTTCACCAGAAGGTTCAGAGACTTCAAATTGATAACTGTGAGTGTGTGTTTGTGTGTCTGTCAGTACTGGGATATTTTGCCCCAAATACAGCAGACTGATTCAGAAAAGACTA